ACCCTCACCCTCCTACCCTCACCCTCCTACCCTCACCCTCCTACCCTCACCCTCCTACCCTCACCCTCACCTTCAACACCCTCACCCTCACACACACCCTTATCCTCATCCTCACCCTCCTAACCCCACCCTCAACACCCTCACACTCACCCTCACCCCCAACTGGCTATGGGTCTGGGTGTACGGAAGTGGCTCTGGAAGACTGGGTGTTCTTGGACAGTGGGTCCATGCCTCTAAGTCCAATGCTGCCCACAGCCGTGTCTGCAGCTCCTGTTCCCCTCTGTACATGTTCACACAGAGCCCTCCCTTGCCTAAGGGCTCACCAACTGCTCTCTCAGTGCCAGCAGGATGCCAAATTCCTTTCTTGCACAGCAGCAGACCAGTCAGTGAAGTGCTCCCTCACTCTCATAGTATAGTGTAGCCCCCTCGAGGGGTCAGTGCCAGTGCTGGGGGAGGGCACAGGGAGCAGGCTTCCCGATACTTCTGTACTCCTGTTGTCAGAGCTCCAAGAGGAGGGGGTGGCTGCTGATGTCACAGACCTTCCAGGCATGAGGGGAAGGTAGTGCTGGTGTGTACTGACTGACAATGACCAACAGCACGGTGACTCCAACAGTTACACAGCATCAATGTCTCAGCCTCTGCACAGAACGGTACCAGGGTCTGCTTCCTGTTACAGGCAGGGACCGTCTCCTCGTATGGCTGGGACATCTAATGTTGGCCAGCACGACCGCCACCAACCCTACACCCCCCCCGCCCCGGTATCCCCCCACACCCGTATCCTCCCCCCACCGACACCCCCCCTCCCGCCGCCCCCCACCGTATCCCCCCACCACCAACACTACACCCCCCTCGTATCCTGCCACCGACCCCCCCCCCTGCCCCCTGCCACCCCCCCCGCCCCCAACCCTACACCCGCCCCACCCCTGTGCCCTTCCACCGCCCCCCCACCTCCCGTATGCCCTCACCGCCACTCCCTCCCGTATGCCCCCACAGTCCCCATATCCCCCCACCGCTCCCCCACTGCCGCCGCCCGTATCCCCCCACTGCCCCCCACCCCCCTGTCCCGTATCCCCCCTCCACCTCCCGTATCACCCCACCACCCACCCGCACCCCCCTCCCGTATCCCCCCACCGCCACCCCCTCCCGTATCCCCTCACCGCACCCCCCCCCAGTATCCCCCCACCATGCCCCTGCCCCCCAGACCCACAACCAGGCTATCTGAACCTGGTTATGGGTTGGTTTGTCCTGAGATGAGAGACAGCCTGAGAGTGCGAGCAGTGACAGTGGGTGGTACAGCTACAGGGAGCTGGAGATATTGGGAGGTCCCCGGGGTGAATGTGGGGGTACCAGAGGTGGCATGTGGTGGGGGGGGGGCGGGGCGGGGCGTGGGGGCGTGGAGGGTGGGTGCGGGTGGGGAGTGTGGAGTGGTGGAGGGTGGGGGCGTGGGCAGTGGGTGGGGAGTGGGGATGAAGGGTCAGAAGAAGGGTCTAGGCCCGAAACGTCAGCTTTCCTGCTCCTCTGATGCTGCTCGGCCTGCTGTGTTCATCCAGCTCTACACCTTGTTATCTCAGATTCTCCAGCATCTGCAGTTCCTATTATCTCTAGACAGGGTAAATGCCGGAAGGACATTCCTGATGAGTGTGGAGTCCAGAACCAGGAGTCACAGTCTTACGGATACAGGGTGGGCCATTGAGGATAAATATCTTCACCCAGAGACTGGGAAGCCTGGGGAATTCTCTGCCACCAAAAGTGCTTGAGACCAAAATTTTTAATGTTTTCAAGGAGTTAGATATAATTCTTGTGGCCAAAGGGATGAAAGGAATATGGGGGAAGGCTGGTATTAGGGTACTGAGGTCAATGATAGCCATGATCATATCACATGCTGAAGCAAGCTGGAAGGGCTGAATGTCCTCATCCTGCTTGTACCTTCTAATGTTTCTGTGTAACTTACTTTCCCACCTCTCCTCATGTCAACGATAACCCTTCGAGCAGGCGTTGTACAGTTACCGAGCCAGCACTGATCAAGCTAAAGAGTTATTCTGACTTTCTCTGAGCAATCCTCTGTCAGGCCACAATCAGCCTGTATTTCTTGTCGTGTTTACTGTCAAGCCAGACTCATCAGCAGGAATGCCAGCCCCGTGGCGCTATGCAGCAGTATTTGTTGTTGAGTGCAGTGCATCAAGCTGCTCTCAATAAACTTTAATTGTCCCATTTATGGCCTTTGGTTCCAGATCCTGGCACAGGAGGTTCACAAGCAAATGGATATGGTCAATGAGGCAGTGACCAGAGGAGAGCAGCTGATGTCAGAACTCCCAGGTAACTAGATCCCGAGTGTGGGGGGAATGTACC